TCAAAAACTGTTTCTTAATATTTCAGTATTGTTTTGATTAGCTCTAATGTTAATATGGAAAATATTTTAAGGGTTTTTTTTAACTTATTCAGTAACCTACATTATGCTACTGTAGTTTTGTGTTTTGTTGTTGTTTTATTCCTCATAGTAATATCTGGAAATGAAATCCCCCAAAAGCTCACTTTTATCCTACTAGTAGAGCATCATCCTTGCTCCTAGAAGGCCAGATATTGGCTTCATTTGAAATAATTTCCTGTTACTCAGTAGGAACCAATCATTGTTTTCAGCATTACCAACTTCTCCCCTGGTGATAGATTGTGGTGGTTTCTATTATACTTTTCTATTAGACATTGCACGTTACTATTTAGATCTAGTAGACAATGTGGTTTTGCTGCCATATCACTGAAATAATATCCAAAATGTTTACCATTCTTTTGTTACATCACTAGCTATATTTTTTTGAAAGGTGAATTATTGTGAAACAGGTAACTAAATATGTATTGGTAGTAACAATATGAATATAGCTATGACTTTCTGAATCTTTTTTTATTATACTATCTTGTATAATATTTTTTCTTTATATTTAGCGGGCTCAAGCTGTTCTTCAGGCAGTGACAGCAGTACAGACGACAAATACTCCCATAAGTGGAACTACTGTTAGTGAGAGTGCAGTGACTCCAGCTCAGAGTCCAGTACTTAGAATAATTATTGACAACATGTACTATCCTGTAACCCTGGATGTTCTTCACCAAGTAAGCCATTTGTCTTTGTCACTTTAGTTTATGTGATTTGGAATAAATTTCTGCACGTCAATTTTTGTTATTTTTGACAGATATTCTCTAAATTTGGTGCTGTATTGAAGATCATAACATTCACAAAGAATAATCAGTTTCAAGCTTTACTTCAGTATGGTGATCCAGTAAATGCACAGCAAGCGAAATTGGTGAGTGGAAAGCTATTTTTGGGCTATTGACTTATCCTGTGGTAATGGAATTATTATTTGAGCAGGGTATTACCATGACGCTAGTGGAATGGGGTAGGTATAGAAGTTAAAATAAAAAAAGAAAGAACAAGTTAAAAATTACTTAGAAAAGTTAGAGGTCTTCAAGTCACCAGAGCCTGATGAAATGCATCCTCAAGGAGCTGATAGAGGAGGTATCTGAGCCTTTAGCTATCGTCTTTGAAAAGTTATGGAAGTAGTGAGAGATTCCAGAAGACTGGAAAAGGGAAAATATAGAGCTTATCTATAAAAAGGGAAATAAACACAACCCAGGAAACTACAGATCAATCAGTTTAATTTCTGTGCCATGGAAGATAATGGAGCAAGTAATTAAGGAATTCATCTGCAAATAACTGGATGATAATAAAGTGATAGGTAATAGCTCGTATGGATTTTTAAAGAACATATCACATCAAATCAATCTGATAGCTTTCTTTGGTAGGATAATGAGTCCTGTTGATAAGGAAGAAGCAGTAGATATGGAATACCTAAACTTTAGTAAAACATTTGATACGGTCTTGCCTGACCTTCTTATCAATAAACTAGGTAGATACAGCTTAGATGGGGCTACTGTTAGGTGGGTGCATAACTGGCAGGATAAACATTTCCGAAGAGTAGTCATTAACAGTTCACAATAATGCTGGAGGGGCATAACAAGTGGGCTTCCGCAGAGGTATGTTTTATAACGTTTCTGTTCACTATCTTCATCAATGATTTAGATGGCATAGAGAGTACGATTGTCAAGTTTGGAGATGATACTAAACTTGAAGGACTTGCAAGTGCTTTGGAGGATAGGGTCATAATTCAAAATGATCTGGACAAACTGGAGAAATGGTCTGAGATAAATAGTATGAAGTTTAATAAGCACAAATGCAAAGTACTCCACGTAGGAAGGAACAATCAGTTTCACACATTCAGAATGCGACTGTCTAGGAAGGAGTATTGCAGAAAGGGATCTCGAGGTTATAGTGGACCACAAGCTAAATATGAGTCAAAAGTGTGATACTGTTGCAGCAAAAAAAAAAAAAAAAAAAAAAAAACCATCATTCTGGAATGCATTAACAGCAGGGTTGTGAGCAAGACACCAGAAGTCATTCTGCTGCTCTCTTCTGCACTAATTAAGTCTCAATTGGAGTATTGTGTCCAGTTCTGGGCACCATATTTCAAGAAAGATCTGGAAAAAATGGAGAGGGTCCAGAGAAGAGCAACAAAAATGGTTAAAGGTCCAGAAAACTTGAGCTATGAGAGAAGAGTAAAATAATTGGGCTTGTTTAGATTAGAAGAGAAGACTGAGAAGGGACATGATAGCATTTTTCAAGTATCTAAAAGGGTATTGCAAGGAGGAGGGGGAAAAATTGTTCTCCTTTACCTCTGAGGATAGGACAAGAAGCAATGGATTTAAACTGCAGCAAGGAAGGTTTAGGTTGGACATTAAGAAAAACTTCCTAACTGTCAGGGTGGTTAAATGCTGGAATAAGTTGCCTAGGGAGGTTGTGGAATCTCCATTACTGGAGGTTTTTAAGAGTCGTTTCGTTAGACATCTATCAGGAATGATCTAGACCAGTGTTTCCCAATTTTATTTGGCCAGGGAACCCTTTAAAAAAAACGCCAGGGGAAACTGGTCCACAAAAGAAAAAGAAAACAACAAACGCCAGCCCACCCCTAAGACCGCAGCGGCCCCTTGAAAATGGCGGCCATGGGTAACCACCCAGCTTGCCTTTCCCTTACATGGGGGGGTGGAGAGGAGAGGACTTCTTTCCGAACTCTTACTTTTACTTCGCAGAACCCTGAGCACTATTTTCGAAACACTGATCTAGATGGTGCTTGGTCCTGTCATGAAGGCAGGAGAGTGGACTTGATCTCTCAAGGTTCCTTCCAAGTTCTAGTGTTCTATGATTCTATGACACTGATTTAACCCTAAATTCCTGTATTAAATCAGAAGCAAGATATTTGAGCAAGATATTTACAAATGGATATTTACATATTGGCTCCAATATGGTCATTTAGCAATGAACCCTTTACAATGAACAGTTTACTTTTTTATATCCATTAGCATACAAGTAATGCCATTGCCAATTGGTAACTTCATGTAAAAATCAGTTTGAGAATATTTACCCTTCGCTATTTATCCTTAGTTCTGGTCTTAATCCACATAAGATTTACAATCCCGTTTCTATCCACATCCTTTTCTTCTCTCCTTGACGACAAGCAGCTTTTCTATTGCACCTGGGTTTATGTAGCCTTTTATACCAGTATGGAGGTTGGAAAGGCTTATATTGGCTCATTTTAAGACCGGTTCCTTTTCTGCCATTTAAAAACATCTTCAGTCCTCTTCTTCCCTATGTACCAGAGGCTATCTTTTTAGAAACTTCCCCTTATCTTGTTAGTTTATTCTTTGAACTAGACATCATCTTTACTTCATCCCTACAGGCCTTATAACTTGGTATTTTCAAGGTTTGCCTTCTAATTGCTAGTTAGGACCTTTCTTTATAATGCATACATTTTCTTAACAAAACTTAAGCTAACCTTGATTCTGTAATTGCATATTTATGCTATGTGTGACTTACGAGAGATATTTGAAAAATTTATTAGCACAACACATTGTAAATCTTAGTAATGTCTTAAACTCTTCAACTGATTTTTAAAGAGCGTAATCTCTTTCATACAGAGATAAAGTATATACTAATTATTTTTGTTTTGTATGTTGTGGTAGCCCCTATAAGGCCCAATCGGATATCAGTACCTCACTGTGTAAGTAAAATGGTTGAGTACAGTTTTTACTGCTAAAATATTGGGGGGGGGGGGGAAACCCTTTTAAAAAGCCAAAATCTGTCTTGAGCAACACAGAGTATGTCAGCAGAATTGAAAATTGATTGAAAATGAGACAAAAGAGAATAAGAAATTACCTGTCCCTATTTAAATACATTTTAAGTACATTAGAAGTAAGAAGACTCTGCAGTGATACCTTCCAAAAAACTAGTGGGCTGCATGGGGTCAGTTGAAAAGCGAGATGAGACAGTGAAGTTAAATGATTCTTCAATCGTTCTTACTATAGAAGATAATGGAAAATTAATTTTCCAGTGGCACACTTCAAAGGAAATGAGATTGTGACCTTAACAGAAATTGAAGACTTAGTAAGGAAGTTAAAGAGCAATTTGAAAAACTCAAGTGATGTAAGTACTTGGAAGGGATGGTATTTATCTTAGTGTTATAAAGAAAAAAAAGTGAGATATTGACAATGATGCATGCTATAAAGCCTCTGGCTCTATAGACCTTCACTCATTCAGATAGCATGAGTAGTGAAAAATGCATTCCTCTACCATTTGTTTTCCAGGAAAATGTCATTTCTTCTTCAAGTGTTCATGTGTATGCCTGTTAGGTATGTACACGCACATGTGCATGGTGGCTGGAAGATTTTTTCAAAGCATCTGTAGGGTCAACCTGTGTATTCCATGGAGTCATACCCTCATGCTGCTGAATATATAGCCCTGATAGCCCACCCCCATAACTCTTCCTCAAGCACCGTTTCTCTTGACTCTAGTGTCTATAAATCCTAGTGTTCTTGGTATTATTGTATATAGTTACAGTTAGCGTTTGGGGAGCGTGTATTCCTCCCTCTGTTTTTTTTATTTTAAATCCCCGTAATCCGTGTTCTCCAGGTTTTAAAAATGTTGGGCCTGCGACAAGAACATGCCAAAAACTTGAACCTCACTGTTCCTAGCTAAGGTGCTTTGGTGAGTATCATCAGAAAGATCGTTGATGCATTTACCATGAACTCCGTCTCAGAACTTTAAAGGACAGAGAGAAAGTGCTCCTAGTGGAGGCAGCACTGTGCCCGCAGTCAGACCCAGTACTGACTGACCTGGTGCCAAGCACTTCCTTGTTGGCACAGAGTGCCCCAGCACAATCAGCTGCCTTGACACTGAAAAAAGGCGTCATCTTCGCACCACCATGGGTCTGTGAGAGATACTCCCCCCAGAAGGGAAGTTGCAACCACAGCCTTGAGGATCTCCAGGCCAGTACAGTCACTCTCTTCCACTCCCCTTGATGCCAGAAGGCTCACGTAGTGGGGAGATCTCCGGTAGCCTCAGCACCTATCCGTCTTCAGATTCAGTCCAGGGAAAAGCCAGCAATGATATCCTAGTGTCTCACTCAACAAGCTTGCTGGTATTATCAATCACTGCCAGACAACCAAGCCAGTAGCTCAGTTCTCACCAGTCAGCACCTAGAAGCTCAGCATCAACTTAGTCCTTGATGTTGGAGGCTTCTGATTCAGAATCAGTCATACCATTTCAGGAGGAGCTCCAGCAGGAAATGTCAATGAAAAATAGACGATCACCATTAACAGCAGGTGCCATGGCTTCAGTAGCAGAATGCTTCACAGTGGCCTTTTTGGACCCTCTCTGAATTTCATCAAGCCTAGGACATTACGTATATCATACAATTGCATATTGCTATCCAAAAAGCTTTGGTTAGCAGATATGCTTGTAACACCTCCACCTCACTCTCCAAAGTTACAAAGATGCTCCCCTCTAGCTCATGAGCAGAATTCTGTTCCTTCATTGAGGAAAAGACCATTTCTAGAGCTTCCTTGCAGGCAGTTTTGGACAGCGCTGACACAGCAGCAAGAGTCATGGCAACTGGGGAGGGCCTCGTGGCTCCAGGCCTCTGATCTGCCATACAAGGTGCAGCAGATTATTCAAGACCTCTCTTTTGAGGGCACCATTCCTTTTTTTGAAAAGAAAGACAAAAGGCTATATGTACAGCCTCAAAGATTCGAGGGCAACACTTAAGTCCCTTGGTCTTTACAGCTCTGTGACTCAGTGTAGACACTTCGGACCTCAACTGCCATAACGATTCTTTACTCAGAACTATCAGGAAAACTCCTGTATTAGAAACAGGGGTGTCAGGAATAGGCCTCACCAGTCCTCCTGTCAGGGCTC